AGCAGCTTCCCAGAAGTTATTACTGAACTGTGAGCAGAGAAAAAACAGAATGGCTACTTCTGTGCTCCTGAAACTGCAAAGGGATAAAGACCAAGCCACTTGAGCAGAAGAAATCCTAGAAATATTGGGAATTAGACTGACAAAATCCTTTGTGTTTCTTTGCCCTTGAACAACTTCGTTTTGACGAATCAGAATTTTGATTTAAAACAACTTCTCAGAAAATTCAAGGTAAGCATGAGTCATGAACTCTCTGTACTGGAATATAGAGCCATCTGCAAACCAACAAATATGCCAAATTAGCTCTCCTCTCCCACAGACACTCAGCACAGCTGCTGGTTAGAATTATGGCATGACTTTCTCTCAAGCCTCTAGAACACTTAGAGCTAAGGAGGAGCAAGCAAATACCTTACTCATTTTCCATATCAGCAACTACTGAAACTTACTCAGTGAACTACTAACCATGAGTGGAAACATTAAGACGCTTAGAGCAAAGGGAAAAGAAGTGGTGTTTTAATTAGGTTTGTTTTTAATTGCCATTTAGGATACCTTAAAATGACCGTCCAAGAGTACTGAGTGTTCTGAAATATCAAATCACTTTTCAGTGTCTTGCAGGGTGCATTCAAACCCTGTGATTACAATTCTGTGTGGTTTGCCTTGACATTATGTTATCCTTAGTGCCCACGTCATATTCTTCCTGCATTAGCCAAGAGCTGTTGAAGAGTTACCAGCACTGTGCAAACACAGCGAGGTGCATTATCTTGGGAATTCTGCTGGCTCTGGAGCTCCCACAGGATGAGGAGATGCCATCTCCGTGGCAAGGCTCATTGTGCTGCAGCACAAGGCAAACACTGGCCCAGCAGCCAGGCTGGCAGCATTAGTGGGAGCTGATTGATCACCGGCACGGTGTTGCTGAGATATGGATTTGTATCTCAGCTTTTTATCACCGGGACTTGCACGAGGCAGTTCCTTATTTACAGACTCTGCCTCTATTAAGTGACATTATTAGGGACTACTTTTGTTTAAGTGCCTCAAAGGCTCAGCATATTGGTGGTTTATGACATACAAGCTGTTTGATTCTGATGGTTTAGCCCTCACTTTTTCACACTGTAAATAGGACCTGCAGCACAAGAACATATGGTAGGTAAAGAAATTAAAGCTAAAGTAAATGGCATTAAAGCAAATTCAAATACAGCAATAAGATACTCAATCTAAATTATAAACCTGTATTAAGACATTTTAAAACAGGAAATAAAAGCCTAAATATGAAAAATAACCTTTCGCTGGTCTGGTTTGTTTTTTTTTTTTAAGGACCATTTCAGGGGTTTACTGTGATTAATTTCCTTATTAATCCTCCTTAATCCCTATACAGTTAAATGAATAAAATAGGATATCCCTTAATAAGTGAAACTATTTTTGAATATAGCATTAGTTGTTTACCTTTTTAACTTCTGGGTTCATGTCACATTGCCTCTGATACAGAAAAAACACATTATGCATTCTTAAATGTTTATTACAGCAAGTACACTTGTTCCTACTTAGAAATGTACATTTAGCACAAAACCAAAAAGAGCCCTGCAAAACTGCCAGCCTAATGCTCACATTCCATACCAGATATCAAAAAAAGGAAAACTACCTCTTCTTAGCTTTGTAATACTATAGCAGCTTATTCAGAAAAGGAATGTCATTATACTTGCATGTAAATAGGAAGATTTCCCTAATTATTGTTCTACAGATAAACTCCAGTCGCATGTACTTAAATTGTAATTTCAACACATGCAGAATTTATACCACTCAGTATTATATGTGGCATTAGTTCCATCAGCCTGTAATCCAACTCCATCAAAGACAGGTTTTTGATACAGCTTTAGCTTTAATGCACTCTGACAAAAATAATTTCCTCTTATGATGTATTCCTTCAGTTAAATAGAGCAGCAAGAGTATTTTAACTGCCACTGCTACTGTGCATTTCTACTCAGCTGAAATGCCTCTTTTCAGAACAACTTATTCATCCTATGTATGGTTGCTTTTTTTTGTTTGTTTCTTTTCATTATAGCTTGGAAGGTTGGTTTGTTGTGTTTGGATTTTTTTTAATCTACAATTTTTTTTGTATCTCCTTGGTTGTTTGCAGCAATAATGTATCTCATCTGTGTAATTTTACAGAGAGCAAATTGTAAACAGAGTTCTCCATTCTCCTACCTACACACAAAGACATCCTGAGAAGTATATTCATGAATGAACCAGCACCTCAAGTAGGATCTGATTTTAGCACTCTCTTAGGCTTCAGGGTAAGAATTGTGTGTGACAATGCTTCTAAGCACAAAAAATCCAAAACTTGAATGCTGTAAAATATGCCAACACTACCAATGACACAGTCAATACAGACTGAGCACAATTCCTACTAACGTGGCTCTAAGGATTCTCCTTTTAGGGCAAATCTAAAGCAGGTGCTTACAGGTCATTTCCCCCTCAGCTGCAGAAGTACATTGAATGGCCATTCCTCTGCCATCTCCAGGAACTGGCTAGCTCAGAAAACCCATCCACTAGTTGGCAACCAGCAGCACAGACTGAAGCAGGGGGCTGAGCTGCCTAATTTGGCAATACTGCTGGCATCTGATATTCCCATTTACTGTGTAAGTCTGCAGACATAACAGAAACTTCCCAAAATAGGAGACAAGCCCTCAAGGAAAGCTGAGCAGTTTGCTATAATAAAAACAAAAGACTGCTCTGACCTTACACACTTTGGAGTCACAGCATTCACACACCACTCAGATTTCCTGTTTGAAAAAAGGCAGTTAATAGCCAAATATAAAGTGCAGAACTCACTACACTTTCCAGGCTTTGCTCACTTCTCCTGGCAGACAGAACCCCCCAGCAGTACTCCTGGCCATTTGGAACCACAGCCCAGGCCTTTCCTCAGCTTGGACAATCTTTTTTTTTCAAAAACCCACCTCAGGCAAGTAACAACAAAACAGCCAGTCCTCTGTACATCTGCTGCCATTATTTGCTGTGAGGAATTCTGTGTTTGAGCTAAAAGTGCATAGCACAGTGATTCATTAAAAGAAGGAATGTGATGAGGCAATTGCCTAAACATAAATATATATCACGTTTCCCCTCCCCAACAATTTTCTTAGTGAGTAATGCAACATCAGTTATGAACAGAAAGTACAGACATCCACATTGAGAATTTACTCTTCTGCAAAGGAAGTGTCTCCTGAACAGATGGAAGGATCTACCTCTACCAAGCACTAAAGGTAGAAGGAAAACAGGTATCAGGCACAAGAGCACTTCCATTTAGATAATTTCTCCTCCTAGATACAACTTATGGTGTAAGAATTAAAAAAGCTTGTCACCTCTCTGTTTTTCCACACATTAGCCTTTATGAAAACAGGAAAGGCAGCCTGCATTCCCCATCTGCTATTTCTCCTCATATTTTGGATTAGAACTGGAGACAAGAAATCCTGCACTAGGGCAGAAATTGTTCTGCTGAATATTCACTTGGTCACTTCAGTGTTTCCAGAAAAGCTGACATCCTGTTTTAAGTACAAATCTTTCCCGAACTTCCTTCTCAAGACTAAGACAAGTGAGGAAAAAGGTGCTCAGAGAAATTCAGTTTGTGTCTTCTGCCAGTGTACACAGAATTCAGGTTGGTCTCCTCTGGGAAATCTGCATTCCACCACAATTACGAGCTCCACCAGAGCTGGAGGATTCCTTTAACTTCGTGAAAAAGGTGGGTTTATGTTCATTGGGGGTTTTGGTAGGTTTTTCCTTGGTTAAATGATTAACACAAATTGATTTGTGGAAAAACTAAACATTTTGTCCTCCCCTTCAAAATGTAACAGAGAATGAGTTCCTTCTGTATGCTCACAAGTGAGCAAAGTCTAAGAACAGCAGCTCAGTGGCTCTGGCATTACAGCAGAAGTGCAGATTAGAGGCAGGTGCCCAAGGTGTCTCACCTCAACACTGGAGTGAAAGAACAAATCCAAAGCCTCAGAGCAGGGTATGACCCATGTCCTTACTTCCTGGTGCTAAACAAGAATTTTTGCTTTAAGTAAAGACAAACTCCAGCTGCTCAATACCAATGAAGCAATGGTAGCTGGAGGCTCCCTGGCGAAGGTGGCTGCCTTTATGGAAGCCAAATTCTTACAGGATTTCTGTCACAAACTGTAGCTGCCTGTAAGGATTGTTCCATAAAATTCTCCACCTTCTCAGCACGGGGCTTTGCCCACATGCTCATTCTTCTTATTCTGAAGTGGATATGAAAGGGCAAAATCACAGCTGTGTTTAAAAATTCAGAACACCTGGGAATATCTGATGGTTCCACAAGTGCTGAATACAGGTAGAGGTTAAACAAAGTTCTTGGACAAGAAAAAACCTGCATTTTTCTGTGACCATCATTCCTGAGGATTTTTCTCATGATAGCCTAGAAAGAAGTTGCTAAAATCACTTTGTCACTGATCTTCCCAAACTTCTGTGAAGTCTATCTGCATAAGGACAAATTAACATTGAGATTAATTTTCCCTTTTGATTGCATCACCTGACATTTTGGCCAAGTTACCATACTGAGGAACATGAAAATATTGCTACATTGAAATAGAGCCACACTAAAGTATAATTTTGAAAGAAAAATCTGCAAAGCTATTGCGGAGTCAAATATTCACTTCTTAGTGTTTAAAATACAGGAACAGTTTTGCCTGAACATCAAGCACCTGCATCTGTCTTTTGTACTGCACTTTATACAGAGAATTTCAGAGTATTCTTCCAAAAGGCACAGCAGAAATATTATCTGCCTACAGTTCCTACAGAAACAAAAGGCAGAAAAGGACAGCCTGGCATACACAGTCTAAAAGTACAACATGTTACTGTACATATTCAAGAATAGTAATTTATTCATGTTGTAATTTATTATTTATTACGATCCTCAAATATTGCAAAACCTTTACAGACAATCAGGCTTACTTAAGTAATCATTAATTTACATAGGAAGAAACTCTAATACTTACATAGCTGTGACTCTTAAGGAAATCTGAAGGGTTGCTTGTGCAGACTTTATCCCCTTCCAAGCCAATTACTCTTTTACAGATATTTGATTTGGGGTCATTTGGGCTTTTCACAATTACAATATCTCCTCTGAGAGGAAAAAAACAAACAAAAACAAACAGGAGAATTCTAATTACAAACTATTTGGCTAAGTACATGAGCATCCATGTATCCACTCCAAAAATATTCACACATATTAAAGATTGTGCTGAAAATTCTTGTGTACAATTTTGGTTTCTTCAGTTTTACTCAGGTGTAATTTCACAGAGTTTTAAAACTGTTATTGAGATCATTTATGTAACATTTAAGACTACAACCTGAGACCAGTAATACCCATAGCCGTTTTTCAGGACCAAACTCCTTAGAGAAGAAGTTACATTCACTCAGTAGAATCATTTAGGGGGAGGGAAAAAAGGATTTTTTCTATTATTTGGACAAAGCTGTGATAGTGACAACAGACTAAACCCAAACTGAATTTTGACAAGTTGTTCATTGGGCTGTTTGTGCTGGTAATTTTAAGATCCTTTAGACACAATGAAAAATTACAAGTTAGAAGCAGAAAAGTAGACTAAAAACAAAGGGCAGAATGTGGTTATTGACAAGCCCTGGCAAAGGGAATGCCAGATGTGCTCTCCAGAGAGCAGCGTACTTTCGAATGCAGTAGAAGTGGCGGCTGAGGTTCTCTGAAAAGACAACATCAGAGTTCTGAATGGTTGGTTCCATGGAAGGTCCAGAGCACTGCAAATGAAAAAGAAAGGAGAAAAAAATTACTATTTCAAACCACTTCTATCTAAAATAAACCTATAGTCAAATGATATGGTAATAAATTAGAAAAGGTGGAATGTAGAGAACTAAAAGTGAGCTCCTCCAAGGAATGTGTGATGCATTTAAAAGCTATGGGGAGCTTCCAGAGCATCTCTAACTGTTACAGCTCCATATTTCCTTGGGATTGGTCCTGAACTGCACCAGGTGCTACAGGCCCTTATGCATTCCTTTCAGCACTGCATCTCCCAGAAATTTTTAGGAGCAGTGCTCAAAGCCCTACCAGCTTACCCCTTTCTCTTCTCTGTGACACAGAATGATCACAGAAGCTGCAAGGGCAGCTCACAGCCAAACTCCCCCACGCCCAGCAGCAGTATCTGCCAGGTTAAGGACCTGGGGAGGAGGGGCAGGAGCATAAAACACTCAGAAACTTGGCCAGAGTGTGAAATAAAGGCATTTCCTGTCACTGACTCCAGTGATTTTTAAAGGACGGACTCTGTGCAAAAGGCTTAATCAGAGTTTCCCATTTACTTCAGTGATGCCTCAAGCAATAACACATCAGAAAACGTGAATGACTAAAGTACAAAGAACTTTCACATAGGCCAGACCTGCTCCCCATAAATTGTGTTAAATGCTTCAAAGAAAATTAAGAAACCTGAAATATTGGCATCACCACATAGAAAAATGTCAGTATTACAGTTTATCTCCTTTTAAATGTCATAAAATGAAGAGTTACCACAACAATTCCTCCAAGGTACTCAAAGGCACAGTGTGCTATGCAGCCATATTGCACCGTGTACCCCAGAAATCGGAAGGCTTTTCCTAGGGCATTGCGAAGCATCCTACAGTGGGATGGTGCCCAGCTGGCTCTACAGCAAAACAGAAGAGGATCATTCATTGGAGAACAAGCAATCCAACATTTACAAACCCATCTTTTGTGTGCAGCAGGTGGACAAGAATGAAAACACCCAACAGTATAATGATACCAACAAATAATCAGACAGACCTGAAGAGGTGCATAGAGAAGTAAGGCATCAGGTCTTTCTGTTCTCAGCAGCAGCACAGTGCTATAACTTCTGCAGCTGAAAACATTTTCTCACCCCCTTCCCCAAATATTCAAGTCCAACTCTGATTAGGAGATCCAATTCCTGCAATGCTAATCTAAATAAAATGTTTCCTTGTCACAATTTGGTGGTTACATGTAAGGAAGTGGAAAACAGACCTAATAAAGTAACTGAAGCAAGTTCTACATTCTGCAAAAAATCTGCCCCCCTTAAACTCAGTGTTGCTTTCTCATGAACTAAAACCACTGCAAGATTTCCCTCTTTTACTAAGACGGGTCAATAGAGTTCGCTGAGCAAATACAGTATGTTGAAAAGGAAAAAAAGAAAAAATGCTGTGTAAAATATGCCTACTTCAAAATGAAATAATCTTCTTCTACATTTCATTAATTAAAGACGGGAATTTAAAAGTGCATAGCTTTATTGTCACAACTCTGACTAGAATTTAATGGGAGTTCTGCCTGACTACATTCAAAAGACAACATTATTGGGAGTAAATATTCTCTAACAAGTTCATTTCCTTGCTCCAAAAGAGACATACTTTTTTATCTACACAAACTTCTCTAGACTTAAACAAATTAAACCAAGCTGTGATTCATCATTCATTATCTGACCATTTTCACAGTAAAGACCTGAAATACAGTGGCAAACAGAAAAGTCTTGAATTGTGTCTGGCAGATGCAGCACCCAGCACGCTGCAGGACACACTGCAGGAACGGGAGCAGCTCCCCTGGAAGGGGAATGCACTTTCAGCAGAACCCACTCCGGTGAGGCACACAAGTGGTTGGCTCTTCTCAATTCAGTGCCCCAACCAATGCCTTACTCTTAGGCCAGACACACTGAGAGCCCAGAACTGTGACACAGGTCACAAAGGGAAGGTGGAGGCACAGCAGATGAATCTGAGTTGCAGAAGTAGGTGAATGCACAACTACGCTTTGAGAGAAGTCCACCATCAAACCTTCTTAACAGCATCTGCTAGAAAGGAGCCTCACACTGCTTCTCAGTTCAGGGAGAAAGAAAAATACTGCAGAAGGAACCTCTGTTTTTCCCAATGCTATTCAGAAACCTTATATTAACATATTAAGATAGTAGAGAATTTAGGCACCTGTGGGTATTGCAGGTAAAAAGGCATTTACAAATAATGCATTACAATGCCCAGAGTCCACAGACCAAACTGGGACAAAAAACAGTAACAACATCAGGAGAACGTGCAAGCCTCCCATGAAACAGCTATCAGGTTGTAACTGAAATATTTTTATTATGAAACTCCAAACAACTGCTATACATGTCAGAAAACAAGTTTCAAAGTGATTGCAAGGCATTTCCTTTTGGATTTTGGGTGACACAAACAAGGACAGTTACCCTGGACACAGGTTTCCCTGGGATGCTTGTGAGTAGATTTGGGAGCTACTCAGAGAAACCCAGGGCTCAGAGTGAGCTTTGCCTGCTGCCAGAGCTGCCATGGTAAAAAACTAACCACAAGGACAGAACAAGAGTGAAGAGCTCTCAAATTTTGTTCCCAGTTTCCTTAAAATAATTTCTTAACTCCCAAGACATAGATTTCACCAACCTCTTCTTTTAAATTTAGTAAAAAGGATTTTTTAAATGCTCAAGCTTATCAGATTTAACGATAACAATCAAAAAATTCTTAGCATTACACAAAAGCTTTTGAGTACTACTCAAGAAAGTAATTTCAAATGAAGACACATATATACCTGGATTATACAGTCTGACCCTGGCAAGGTACCTCCTGAGGATGGGAGGGTGTTTTAAATGTTAAGGCTCATCTTTAGACATCTAGTATTCATTCCAAAGAACTAAAATCTTGAAAGTTTCCATGTCATTTTAAATAATAACTTCTAGTTAATAACTGGTTGCAGCGAGTCCAGTAAAAAAAAACACCAGACCAAACTAGTTTATTTATAAAAAAAACAAAACCACACAGAAATAATTAACTTGAGCATCATTAAAATAACTGTTAAAATATAACTGTTTCCTCTGAAAACTTCATATCATTACATTTTTGAAACAATGTCATATTGTTGATCACAAGAAAGAAAACAGCTGAACAGTTTTCCACATGATACAATTTTAATACAAACTACCACCAGCAGGCAACTCCACCAGATCAAACATAAGACCATTAAGCACAATAAAACAAATTATTTAAGCCACAGACCCCTTGAAAACTTAATGGTTCTGTAGTATAAACATCCTTATTGCAGAACTAATGGCCTAAAACCTGTTGTAATTCCTTCCAGGTACTACCTAGTATCATACAGCAGGTAGCTGAAAAATTTCTGCTAAATCAACATTGGTTAAAAAAGGTCACACATCCATATTTATCACAGAGAACACAATCTCATTATCTTACCACAACTGTTACGTTGTAAAATACACAGCAAATAAAATGCAAAAGGTAATTACTAGTATCTCCTGTTCCCTTTTCCTTCCATAGCCTGCGCTTTCATCACTGGGTTTTTGTTTGTTTGTTTATAAAATTAATCACTGCTAGCAGGGTAGAAATCACTTTGAGCCTGGTGAATGACATCCAAGAGATGGGAAAGGATTAGTTCTCAGTTGCTGCCAGTTATAGCGCCAGGTGGCTTTTTCTGCAGCGAAGGTGTTACCGATAATCCCATTACATTGGTACTAAATCTTGCAGACATCAAAATTATCACCAAGGTTCCTTTTCATCCCATCCTTTCCAAATGACTGGAAGTCGCTTCACCTGAAAGAAGTCAAATCCACATGCAGCTGCTGTTTTAGCAGCCAGCGGACTCCCTGAGAATGCCAATTGTGATCCAATTTCGCTGTGCTGGTGGCCCCCTATTCCCTGTCCAATAATACATCTGTTAAAAAATCCTACAGCTACAAATCAAGTTTAATCCTACCAGGGACCTCATGTTGGTCTTGTCTTCCAAAAAGGCAGCAGGTTTTGCCGTCTATCTCTGCCAGTGTCTGGGGAATACTCTTTAAATCCCAGCTCTACTTAGAAGAATAAGCTAAGGATCACAAAACATGACCTCAAAAACCCTGATATGACTATATTCTGACCCAGAGGCATTCATTCTAGGTGAAGATTAGAACTTTGCATAATAAGATTACACAGCAAGTGAATGATATCAAGGGACTATCCATATGCAGCCGCCTGGTTTTCTATAGACAGCCTGTGCTCTGCAATATGCAGTGCAGACGAAACAGAGCTTGGGCTTTCTAGCTGAAATAAAATAGATTCACATAAATTAGTTGGCCATTTCCAGATTCCTAAATCCCCTATTACATCTTTTATTGACAGCTCCTGTGAGGATAGCACAAATGGTATTCTCTTTGTACTCTTTGCTTCTGTAGAGCTCGCACTCTGAGGGAAATGTACATAGGTTGTCTAGAAATTAACATCTTGTTTGCTGTAATCTTGGATTACAATTATTGTGTACATAATAAAATTAGAAAATCAATAAGCAGATTTATCATTTCCAGAAAACCAGGAATTTTTAAATACAGGAATTTTTAAATAAAGGAAAATCAAAGTTGCAGGCACTGAAAGTGTGACTAAACAAATCACTGCATTTGGCACTAAGCAGATTTTTCACTTTCATAAAACACTTCTAGTCACATTTGCTTTATATAATGTTTCCCAATTCTGGAATTTCATTGCATATGTAGTGAGAGGTTATCAGTTTGTCCTTCCATAACAGAAACTCTTCTCCTAACATTCTCCACTTCTAACCAGACACTTTTCTCCACCATAACTTGCACCATCTCATTCCCACAGAACCACCCTGAGATTACTTTAAAAAACAATCCAAAAACCCAAACCAAAGAAAAAAATTGCACGCTGACTAGGCCACTTAAATATTTATGTTAAGTTTAAAATAATAGTTTAATATAAATAAATATATTTATATAAAATAGTTGAATACAAATTTATTTATTTATATAAATAAATATATTTATTTATATTAAACTATTATTTTAAAACTTCTCCATGAAATTGATGTCACATGTGTAGAAGAGTGAAGGGTGTGTATCTTGTTTATTTGGATGTTTCCCATATTAGATACACAATATGCTTTAAATAGACATATAAATATACGAAGTATAAATATACAAAATGCTTTAAATATTCTAATTTCAATCTGAGGATTCTGAACATCTGAAGAACAATTTTCAAAAGGTCCCTCTGTGATGGAGATCAGAAGAATTGCTTTTTATTTCCAGCTGTTGCTTTACTCTGGGAGAAACACTGGACTTGGTCTGGAAAATGTGAGCAAGCTTGGTGATATTCTGGAAGAGATTGCTTTTTTACACATTATCTCTACCAGGCACTGGCAGTTTGTCTCCAACAAGAGCTCCTTCAGCTGCTGATGTCAAGCTGACAAGGAGTTTAATCCTGTAAACATAACACAATTGGCTGGTGTTAAATAACCAGAGACTACCGACAAGAACGAGCAATTTCCCAACACAGATTTCAGGTAGTTCTCACTGGTTCTATTTACCTTTGGGAAGCAGCTCCTAACACTTGCACAACCCTGAATAAAACGCTGTTTTAATGGCCAGATGCATTCCAAAGCTTGTCCTCCTCCTCAGCTCCATTCACTCCTCTTTGCTGAACAGCGAAATCCAGACAGCTGAGCAAAGACATGGTCATACACGGGCCTCTGAGGGATGCCAAAATATTCACTTTACAGTCTTCTGCAACAAGGTCATAGTCAGGACAAACACCAAAGGTCTGGCAGACGCCATAGTCATGCTCCTGGTAACTGAGAAAAACGGGCTGTGCCTATGTCACAGTGGCCAAATAACAA